ATTGTACAGTGGCATTAAGTGCCGTAATGTGCACGGATAAAAAGGCGTGATGTTATGTTTGTTATGTTTTTTCACGAATTTTTAGTACTCTAAGAAGTGTGAACTTTTAAGCACCTACAGAAATGATTGTTGTTTATTAATTGTACCTTTGTTTCTCGATGCCTTTCTCTTTTGTTTCACTGTGTAAGAATTAATTCTTTTGTAATAACGTCGTCATTTTAATAGTTTTAGATAAGATCATACTATTTTAGTAAGTTATCATTAAATGGCGCCATAATGTTTCGTTTCGTTGAATATCAGCAAACTAGGTAAGGCATTCAGAAGCACCAGTATTACTACACTTACTAAATAGGTTAATAACAAGACGTCTATAGGTTACACAGGTCTATAATTTTTGTTTAGTGATCAATTTGCAAATACAGATAAATAAAATTGGAGTGTTTATTTTTAATATTAAAATAACCGCTTTTTACTACAAACATATGATACATATACCAATATATTGTCTTTTACAAATTTTGTCTGTTTGTGTATCTGTCTGTACTGGCTGATCTCCGGAATGGCTGGACCAATTTCGCAACACTTTTATTGGCAGGTAGCTGATTTACTAAGGAGTAACGTAAGCTACTCTCATTTTGTAAAATTGAAACAAAAGTTATGTTCTAAAATTCATATTCTACGCGGACGATGTCGCGGGCAACAGTTAGTACCTAGATAAATAATTCACGATGATAGAAGATGTGATGAAGTCTCTCTTTCACTGAATATAAGTCAACGGAGTCATTAGTCAACCATTTCATTCAGAAGGCCTGCCTCGATGTCCAAGTGGTCGCAAGTGCGACTGCCGGGCAAGACGTCTCGGGTTCGATGCCCGGGTCTGGTAAAGTGTACTGGATTTAAAAAAAAATCTCAGTAGTAGCACGGAATCTGGAAATGTGCCCGGTATATGCCAATAGGTTCACCCCCTATTACATGGGACTCATAACATAAATAGTGAAAAGTGGGTGTTACTTCTGTGTGCACCTCTGCCTACCCCTTCGGGGATAAAAGGCGAGGTGTTGTGTTATGTGTTCATTCAAAAGGAGTTCAGTAATCGATGAATTGACGATGATTGTCCACCATCACTATTGTGTTCTCACCATCAGATGGATAGCTCAATTGATATAAAAACTCTATTCCAAGTCATGAACACAAAAACTAGAAAAAAACCTTTGGGAGCATTGTACCTATCAACCTATGAGATGTCTGTATCACACTATACGAACACCAATTAAAGTTTATAAATAGATTATATTACGTAGTTTATATATTATTTATATAAACTATATAATTATATAGTTTATAGTTACATTAGTCTAATGCTAACTGCGTTTACGCAATTATTTTATCAAACACTTACTTAAATGAGTCTTTAGAGACGAATTTTGAATATTTAATGTCGTTGTAGTACGATGAACTACAAGCTTTATTAATGAATGATGTTAAACTGGAGATGCTGAAAGGAAATTTTGTGATATACGTGTAATTATTAATATTTTAAACTTTGTCACCTGTCGACAATATAATAATATATTGTCATATATTATTATATTTTGTCTCTCTTCAACACCCTACGGTTGACTGTTAGAGAATGCTACTAGGCATTAAGTCCACCGTTGTATATTATACAAAAAGTGTAAATAACACATAACATAACATCACGCTTTTTATCCCCGAAGGTGTAGGCACATTACGGTACTTAATGCCACTGTACAATGTAACACCCACTTTTCATTATTTATTATATGAGTTTCATGTAATAGGGGTTGAGCTTATTGCCATTCATACATCGGGCACAATTCTAAACTCCATGCGCAAATTGAAATTAAAAAAAAAACCAGTAATACTTTGCTCGACCCGAGTCGACCCCAAGACTCCCTTTCCCGGCAGTCGCACTTGCGACCACTCGGCCAACGAGGCAGTCAACAAGACTATCAATCGCATATTTTCCAAAGATTTTCCGATATACGCCAGTACTATTTCGTCGTATAATTTCTCCATACTAATACA